AAATTGAGCCAGTCCATTTCTCGCATGCAGTCAGTGCTTGCAAAATGCCTTCACCATCCTCTCCCAGGGCTCATTTCTGCAAGCCAGCCTGGGTACCAGAGACCCTCAAAGCAGAAAACCAGACTCTCTCCATGTCAGCCCAAGATCATAGGTCTATAGTTCAGTACTATGACAAACTCTGGTTCTTTGAGAACTGGTTTTGGAAGCGGGGACAAACACAGTATTCATCTAGAAATCAGTGATGTGCAAAAATCCTGGCAAACAGTATACAGCTGCTAATACTTTTTCTTAGGAAGGATTTTCAAATGAGCTTTGGTTATGGATACCATGAGTTCCAGAATAATGCATTCAATAATTGTGTATATGACTGCTGTAATAACCCTACATACAAAAGAAAGAAATGCAATATTTGTGCATTTATTGGAATGGAGGCAGACTCAGACTTGCTGTGTCCAAGCTGTGAGATGGCTAAGCACCAGTCTGCTCTGATCCAGCACCCCCGTAGCTGCAATAGCCGGCTGTGCACAAGCACGCCTGCAAGCTCGGACACACCGGCTTGCTCAACTAGGTGTGTGATTTCCAGGACAGGGCAAATGGACAATATGGAAAATTTTCTTTTGCACTTCAGCAAAGTTGTGACCATACCCAGCGCCTATGATATGGTTCTTGATTTGCTTTTCATGACTTAGGTTTCTTATTTATCTTCCTGATCAAGAAAAGCAGGGCAGTCCATTTCCTTCTCTTTATTTGAACAAAATTCTTGCCAGTTTTAATTTCAGGCCTGCTGCTCCAGCCCACAGTTGCATGTGTAGTTTTCAAACACTGCAGAAGAATGTTTATTTGTGCTAGGATATTTTTCTAACCAAAAGTGGAAATTCAACATGAACCATATCTACCCATCAGCAAGACTTCAATAAGTGTAGTTTTGCAAGATTCTCGATATCGTGTCAACTGTCTCCATTTTACTTCTACGTTTGTGCATACTTATTATTTACATAACACACTACAACAAATATCTATAAAACCAATCATGTATTTATGCAGGGTTTTTTTAAATCTATTCTGTAGCCTGTTCTCCTTGTCAGGTTTGACTCATGTAAATACTTACAGACAGAAACCACACTGTCAGCACTTCCAGCAGCTCTGAACTTGGTATTCTTTCCTGCAAATTCCTACTGGGGGTGAAGCAGAGGGACCGCGAGGGTCCCTTCTCTCGAGGCACAACGCAAGCACTGCAAACCAAACAGGACAGATCCCTTACTCCTGTCTGATGGCCTGAGATCTGGAGGCCTTTTAGATGCAACCCTCAACTCCAGAGTCCTCTCCCCTTTTTATCCCAAGACAGCTTTATTAAAACCTGAGGGTTTTTTACTTTTTTTTTCCCCAATGTCTTCTGCTGTTCATCAGTGTCCCAATGCGATGCTCTACCAACAGACACATTTCAGATGTGTTTCCCTGGTGTGCGCGCAGACCAGGCGGTAGAGATGCATCGAGGTGCCCGTGTCTGAGCCAGCGGATGTGAACACACAGCTCCTTAAATCCTCCTCCACCAGGTGACTGCACCCTGCCACCCGTCTGAGCCCCAGGTGCTACCCTGAGCTTCGGGCTTTAGTCTACCAGTAAACGTCAAAGTGCATTTTTGGCCTATAGACCATACAGAGAAGAGGAGGAGGATGTTCTGTCCTGGATTTTGTTATATTTTGGCTTTCACACTCCTAAACATAAATTCTTAATGTTCAGGCAGATCATACTTTTCACAAGCTTGTTGCGCGCACTGCTGGATTTCCCGCAGATTTCTCTCCTGCCTCTAACTTGCCCCTCTGCAGACATCAGCCACCCACCCCGCTCTCCACGACCTCCGCTTCCTCTGGATATCTGCACTTCTGCCCTTACTCTCACCTTTGTGATATTTCCCAGCTCTTTCCTTAGCTCCTGTCTTTCTCCCCTCCCTTCTTCCTCAACTACTTGCAGCTCTTTTGCGAAGGTTTTCCAGGCTCTCCAATACTTCCTTCTCATGTCTCCACCTCCCGGGCTCACAAGCGTGTGCCATGCACAGGCTCGTTAACTACCTACCCGCTAACGTGGGGAGTGATGAACAACAGCCAAACCTTGGCTGTGTTCCCCCCAGCAAGAGGGGGGGTGGGTTGAGTACCCAGCTATCGCCGAAGCTAATGTCATTGAGATTTCACCTTCCATGTTTGGCTGAAACTGGCTAATATATGACCAAACTAGAAGGCAGAGGAAAAGACAGACAGAAAACCACATTAAAAACAAATGCCTAAAATTCCTGCACCCAGTAAATGTGGTATCTCATTTTAAAAAAACAGTTGGAGAAAAATAATGACCATTTTCAAAAGTGATGTACTGCCTATACTGAGGTCTAAGATCTGAACTCTAGTATCCGTTTGTTTAAAAAGGACTCATAATCACTTTCATTTCCCATCAGACTTTCTCCCTCTTCCTCTTCCAAAAGGCCTTGCTAAAACTCTGCGTGGGGACTCCACCACCTCCTCTGTACTACATCTTCAGCTAGAAATAAAGGAATAGAACTTTAAATTACACATGGTCTCCCACACAACCGTGCTGCTCATCCCTCCCTTTAGAGTACTCCCAGCTGAAGACGGCTGGGGTAACAGAAGAAAGCCCTCTCGAACAGCAACACTCCTTCTCCACCTTCAACAAACTACAGAAAACACAAGGCACGTTTTTCTTCCATGAACCTTTCACCCCATTCAGCAGAAAAAGAAATCTCATTTTCATCCTGATTAACCCACAACATGGCAAATCTTGAGAGAAGACATCCAGAGCATATATGGCAACATATTTCCTCCAGATTTAGATCAATTTAAAGATGCTGTGTAAAAGTGTGTACAGAGAGAAATAAATACGAAATGCCGTGCTGGTGCTGTAAGTCGTTTCAAAAAGCGTCGAGGCTGGACAATCTGGCCCTGGCCCTGACACAATGGTGTCGCGGTAGTGTCAGGATGCTTATAAAGATGTAAGGAAACCCTCAGGGAAGCACACGGGGCACGTCGACAAGCAACCAACCTGAGAGTGCCTTCCTGGAAGAGGAATGGCTGCAGGAGCACACGCCTGTGCCTCGCTCCTTCCCTGGCTGTGAGATTTTACTTCACCCACAGAAGCCTGAAAATCTGCAATGATAATGAAAATGTTAATGCAATCCCAGCTACCTCCGTTCTAGGGAGGCTAACTATTAAAATCTCATGAAAAACATAATGAAGCATTTTTACTTTTTTAATTTTTATGCACTAACCACAGAAGAAGGCAATTTATCAAAACCATTCACTACATCTGACTAATAGTTTTGTACATTACAGGAATCCACAACTAACTGATGAATGCTGATAAGCTGTAAACCATTTCTCCTCTTGTAAATATTGCAGTGTCCAACAGTGCTGCTAATACTGCTGCAATAAAATCAATAATAAAAAAAAATAAAAGAAAGGAAAGCTAAAAGCATTTCAGAAGTACAGAAAAAGTCTTTTCGCTATTTTTCACATTTATGTTGCTTTCCTTCCTTTCTCTGGAAAAATGAGAGTCATGCAGCTATGTTGTTATGGGCTGCAATCTGGTGGGATCGCAGTATTTAAACTGCATTCATCCTAGTTACAGCTTCAATGGCAGAGCCCTGAAGGAGCAGCGTGGTACTGGGGAAGGTTATCAACTCAGCCTAGGGCGTTTTGCCCCCTGAATCGGAGCTGAACCAATGTACCATTAAAATATTAGGCGACGCAGCTTCTCTTTTAGACAAGCTACAGCTCAGAGAAAATTGATGGGCAATATTGCTTTGCCGGAGCAGTGGTGATGGGGCAGGGAAGAGGAAAAGCTAAGCAGCCTCTCCCTGCCATGCAACGGGGAGAGCAACTCGCGCTGCACCGTGCTGGTGCACGACATGCCTCCGAGGGCTCCCGGTCATGCCCCTGCTATTAAGTGTTGTTCAGGAAACAAGAAGTAAATTTTCTGCTTTGTGTTATTTGTCATTGTAGTGGCTTCTCCTGACCATTAGAACTATAAATATTATCAACAAAAATAAGAAACCATGATCATGACTGGTTGCTGCTATTGACGTAAGATATTAGAGACCTTCTGAGTGCTGTGCTATCCAAGTGCCGATGCAAATATCTGCCCAATTATATTTTTTTGTAAAGTAAAGATGTGAATTCTGCGATCCAATGAACTTGCATTTTGAGTCCATAAAAATAACCCCAAGATGAAAGCAATGAGCAATTTTAAATGGTGAATACCAAAAGTACAACAGAACACAAATGAACCTTTACCTGAGAATCATAAAACATTTGAAAAACAGTAACGGGTGAAATTCAACCTTGTAAGGGGGACAGCACAGGCTGTACATCACTTAAGCCCTACTTAAGGCCTCAAAATAGGATTTAGGTGAAACTTAGCTGGTGCATGACATTTGTGCTGACACGGTGCGGAGCTGAGTGCCACCCATTAATGACTTAACCCTCACAAGCAAGCATTCCTTTGGGGATCATTACTTTTATTGCATCCATAGCTTTTGGGGGGAAAAAAAAAAGAAAAAAAAGACTGGTTTTTGTACTGCTGTTTCACATTATGAGGAGCCTGGTGGCATGGTCATCTTCTATGGTATGACACTCTGTCCTCTCAGCTGTGATCCCATCCCGTTACCTGGGTCAGCAGAAGTGTTACCACTGAAGACCTTTTACCATGAACCTGCAGCTTCAGTTAATTGATTCCATGAGCCGTATAACGCTCGCTGATACATCCTGCAGTGCTGGGTGCACAGAGCAGTTATTCAGAGGAAGTTTACTGCTTCCCATTTTGACAACTGCTGATCCTTTTTCCACGAGAAATTCACAGGGGAGCAAGAAAGACCCCCAAGGAAAAGAATTAAACCAAACAACCAGGAACAACAACAAAAAAATCTTTGATAAACCAGATCAGAACAGCATGTAAGTACTACTCTCTCAAGCTTTATATCTATCTCACTCTTTCAGAGCAAGCTTTGGAAATCACAGGCTTAGAGAACGGCGGTCTTTGCGACGTCCGATCTTCCGACTGCACCAGGATCCGGGTGTTTGGCCTTGGCTTCAAAGAGTCACCCAACCTGCGCTGCGAGGTCACCAGGTTAATTGTAAGCAACTTCCTATGGGTTTGTAAAGTATTGATCATACAGTCAAACTTTGACATGTCTGTATTAAAGTCTTTTACCCTGAACCGTGCCGAGCGCCGTCATCTCTCTCTGCCACAGTGGGGTGCAAATACCTTCAAAACGCATTGCCAATACATTTGCTGTGAACGAGGGGAGCTGAAGAGGCTCAGCCCTTTCCAGGACTGCTTCCTTGGAAATGCACAGCTATGCGTTATTGCTAATTTTCTCTGTGGGGTTTTGTTTAACTCTTGTTTGGTTCAACTGCACTGTAGTCCTGTGAAGCCTGAAATCACAATATTATTTCTCATTTTGTGCATCTGGAATCGGTACGCTTGGTGGTTTTCCTAAACAAATTTGAATGCTAAGTTTTGTGGTTAAATATAAGGTTTCTTCAACATAGTTACAGAGGCTCTTACTGAATTTTCTGAGTCATAGGTCAATACCAAGTCAGAAGTTTTAATTACTATTAAACCCATCTCTTCTGCTAACACTAATTTTATCATAAACTATAAATGGGTAATGCTAGGACTGAATTATTTGCTGTATCAGCATACTCAGATATGAAGGGTTTGATTCATTTCATAAATCCACCTCATCAAAGATGTTCAGCCTGATTCTCAATCAGTGCCTACACATTAATGAGGCCTAGCTGAGATTTGCCTGCCATACCTGCTTAGGGCTCCGCAAGCTCTTAACAAGCAGTGATGTCTTGTGCAGCTCATCTAGATAAGCAGCAGACATCACCTTCAAGGAGCAATGACCTGGCTGCTGAGCTCCAGGAGCAAACACAACATGGCTCCACCACGTTACCCTGTCTCATCCCGGCTTCTCATCCCAAGTGCAAGCGACTCTATGCATTTGCATAGACGAGCATGGCTTGCTTTTTACTGTGGCTATGTTAACAGCATCGTTTCTTTTAAATAAGCTGTTTGGAAATGTCTTATATTATTAATTAGAAATATAAACATATGTTGACAACTGGAATTTTTTTTTATGAGCCTTCAGTTTCTGCACTCTCCTTCTGTTTCACTGTAGCATCTCAATGGCGAATGGATATCAAGAGAACAAGAAACCACAAAAGCAGATTTTCTCAGCTCTGAGGCTGTTGACTGCCAGATTCCTCTCCTGAACATCACAGAGACAGAGGCTGTGCACTTTGTGGCTGGCGATGAGCCGTTTGCAAGATGGCAAGTGAAAGTAGGAATTTCTTATGTTTCTAAGAAGTTATTTAGGAGAAAATCAGTTGTCATGATAAATTGATATGCAAAGCACAGTTTGCTTCCCTTCAGAAATAAAAATGCTTGTAGAAATACTCACGTTAAAGTCATATAGGGAGAAAAAAAAAAAAAAAAAGCAGCCAAAACAATATGAGTAAAAACCAGGTGTCTTTGTAGACAATCTGAAAGTGCAAATTACAATCACTTCTCCAGGTAATCACCTGAGATTGATGCAGTTGTACTAATCAATTGTTAATCATTAGTACTCCATTACTGGAAACCCCAGCTCAAACTCCTGATTAGGCAGCAAGTAAAAGATGGCTTTGACGCCCTGTTTGCAGGGCTGGTCCTTGCCACTCCTGGGCAGCAGGTGAGGGCTGGCACGGCGTGAGCAGAGGTGTTATGGCCTTGAATGACTGCAGGAAGGAGCATGTGCAGTACCCGGTCATGCCAGGTTCTCTGCTCTGGTTTTAGCCTCTTTTGCTCACAAAATGACACCTATTTTCTAAATATTTCCAGGAAATCAGTGCCTTGCTGACCCTGTGCCTGCTACCCTTGGTCTCGCTCTGTATGGTTATTTTCTGCAGGCTGGTTGGTTGGTTGGCTGTTTTTTTTAAGACTGAGATCATTTAAAGGCTCCGTAGCTGAGAAAAGCATATTGCCATGGTAGAAAGACTGCAGATGTGCTTTGAAAACTGCAGCATGTAAAAATGAAAAGCATAAAGCACTCACTTCACTGCGGCGTTGCTGCCTGTCCTGCACCCCACAGCTGTCTGTACCCCATGTGCTGCCACGTGGCTTAGGGGAAACACAAAGATGTTTGATGGAGCATGTTTTCTATCCAGTAATTTATTGTAAATAGATAGGGATTTGTGTTTTAAGAGATTGGTGTATGATCTCTGTCGAGCAGAGCTTGGCTGTCGGCTGCTGGGGTGGACCTTGAGCCTTCCTTCTGGAGATGGAGCCATCAGAGTGGGCAGACACCGAGGCTGAACCAGGAGAGCAGTCCCTCTGCTTAGGGCTCCAAAACTTCTCTAAGGAGATACTGAACTCTGCCACCTGTGCGATGAAATGCCACCTCACGAAGGAAGGATGCGAGAGGGAGACACCTTTGAGTTTCCTGGCCCAAGAGAACAGCTAGAATTTTGCACGTGCACAGAGCCATTTCTCCAGTGTGACTAGGATAGCTTCCCTGCAGCTCAGGTGTATTAAAATGCAGTTTGCTTTCAAGTGCTGCCTTTCAGCCCTGAGGAGTTCTGTGCCATTTTTCTTATTTTTCCTCTCAAAACCACATGCAGAATGTCTCTTCCCTTGCACTCGAGTTCAAGAAAACCTCTGCACCTGTAAGCCTTCTGCCCCTTCCCTCTCCTTCAAACCCTGCAGAAAGAACAGGTTCATGGCTATGCAGCGAACGGACAATTAAATCGTCTCAGTCCGGCCCGACCGGCTGCGTGCGAATCCTAGTTCTCCTGTGGATCTTTTTGCTGAATGAATTGGGAAGGCAGAGCTCAGCGCTCGGTTTCAAAGGCAGCTGGCCTTACACGGCGGCACAGAGAACAAAACGGTGGAGCTTTTCCACATAAAAAATGATTTTAAATGAATTCCACAGATGTTCAAAAATTTGTGCTCCAGAAAATTCCTGATAAGACATACTGCAACATTGATCTTCTGGGTTAGGTTAGCAGATGCTTTTTAAAATGTAGGTAGAAGGTTTTTCAGAAACAAAAATCAAAACAATTCTTTCTGGAAATATCACTGTTTAATATTTTCAGAATCTCTTCCCCCTTCCAATCAAATTTCACAGGAATGAGCAGAGTTTCACATAAGCTTTTTTCACTACCAATGTTAGGGGAATAGGGGCTTCACAAAGTGTTCTCAGTGCTCTTTCATTTCACCTGCTCTTGTATTCATGTTTCAGATTTTGCTCATTCTCTCCATGACATGCTGCCGAACGTAGATAAGAAAGTACATGGGGCTACACCAGAGCATTTGGTATAATTAGTTTAGATATCAACATACAAACTCCTACTTGGGCAGCAGATGACTTGGGCTGCCCACACAGATGCCTGGGTGAAGAGGTGAAAGAGCTTGGCAGGCACTTATCTAATTTGGGAAGTAGGTCTCTCGCTTATCCTCAGTTCCTTATCGTTGACTGTATTTGTCAAGAGCAGAAAAAAATATTTGTTAAAAAGTCAGTGAGGCAGAAACCGACTTTGAATTCAGCAAGTTTTTGTAGCTTTCATTTTTCATTTACAAACATTTGTACGAGTCAAACTGTATGTAGATTATGAGTGGTACAAATAGCCAAGATTGTTTCATGATGAATTAAATACTTCAGGAGGAGGTGACAGATTTCCTGATTGTCCCGACTGCTTATCCAGAAGAAGTGGCTCATTCTTTCCACATGATACATATGTTCAAGCAGTCAAGGCACAACTCTAAGCGCATCTTTGGCTTTTAAGGGCCAACCGAATTTGAAGAGACGTTTGCTCAGCTTAGGTCTCATTGAAGTATTTGTTCCACCTCACTAAGGTGACTAATGGAAAAGCAATTAAAATAGCTATAAAACAACCCAATTCTAAAAAGACACCAAAATGGATGTTTATAATAGAATGTAGAAAAAAATACAGATTAAAAAAAAAATCAAATTGGCAAGAGTTACATTTCACTCACGATGCTCACTTCAGACAGAACAATTAGTGCAATTTTATAGCTTTTTGTATTTTTCCCTGTCTACCCATTTCTTCACCCATTATTAGTGCACTGGTATTGAGACAACGTTGGACGCTCTGGTAAAAGAATCAAATGAAATGTAAATTGCATTAGGAATAATATATTCTTAATGGAAGTCTTGCTGCCAATAAGCACTGCCTTTCAGTGAAGAGCAGATCTTAAGGGGGTTGCCTGTTTTATCTTTTCCTCCTCTCAAACTGCAGCATAAGTTCTTTATTTCTTTTAAAAGATTTTTTACCTTTAGTATAACACACAACATCTAACATCTCGGCTGAGCTGATGCACAGGAAAAAACCTGGGGTTTCTTCTTTAAACCTATACCAATGAATTTGACTTCAATTTAAATTAGTCCAAAGCAGTTGTGTCTCTCTCACAATTGCAAATTGCGAATAGCCATGAATACTGCCTGTTTGCCTTCTGGTGTTGGTTTCTGCAGAAACAAACGCTCTTTGCTCGCAGTGTGTTTTGAGCTGAGAACCATCAGATGTGAAATTGTGGGAGGATCTACTGTATTATATTTTCAGATCATTCTTAGTGAACTTCTGATAATTGATGCTTTTTATGAAACTTATTAAAGTAATTTTTACTCTGTGCACTTCCAGTGATCTTTGCTCAATTTAACATACATTCTTTCTGTGAACTGAAATAGTTTATTAATTGACTAAAAAACTTTATACTCTTGACCTTGTAAAAGTCCTTTGTAAAGGGACTGAGATTGTTTCAGGTTCGGGGGTCACTGGAGAGATGGAGGAGGGCTTGGGGGTTGTTTTTATAGCAAGAGGACAGAAAGGGTACCTGACTGATCCAAAGCAAAGGTCTTATTATATTTGCTAAACAGCAGCTTTAGGTTGACTGTGAGAAGCCAAAACCTAAAAAATACCTGACAGAAAGGGCTTTGTTTTCCTGCTGGTGTTCATCAGTGGTTTTAGCATGGCCTTCGGTGGTATTCTGGGGTGCTCTTTAACATGCACATGTCTCAAGAGGTGTCACAATGCTTTCTCAAAAGTTGACCCTTTCCACACTAGTCTGGTATCTTTTCATTTTTATTGTAGAAAAATGAAAATATAAACTCACTTCACTCTTTCTTATTGTGTAAACATTCATATATGAAAAATGTCATGGTAACTTAAGGCTTTCTAAATTACCTACGTGTTCAGGAAACTGTGAGCTGGGACAGGAGGTGACTGTTCTTCCAATGTACCTCTCTATGGCAATGGAACTGTTGCCATCTGGTATTACCCACTCTAGCACTTCTTTTAAAGGTTAATTTAAAATCAACTAAATAATATGCATTCTCCTTTTTGGGGGGATTTTTGGGGGGTTTTTGTTTTTTTTGTTTTAGCCCCAGCGAGTTTACTTACTGATTTGCCATTAAGAAAGTGGTCCTGAATTTCAGCCAAATATCTTAATTTCGTTTCACAACTCCTTGACAGACACCCTTGTAGTATTTGAGTACAGTTTCCATAAGGGTATTGAAAAATCCCTCAGAAAAAAAAAAAAAAAACTAACAGCAATCAGAAAAGTTCAATGCCAGCTGAGCCAAAAGATCTTTTGGTTATTAATGAACAGTTTCCAGTTTGGAGCATTAAGCAATTTGTTAGCTTGCAGTAGAGCCACTCACAAGTGGTTTAATTTATCTTGCTGGCAAGCATCCAGTTCAAGGGGGCAACGGTATATGCTCCAAAATGAGCAGACAGTCTCCATATGGAACATTATTACTTATAAAGATGATTTTTGTATCATTTAGATCACTAACGATGGCTTCCAGTACAGTAATTCCAGAGTGCTGACCCTGTATGACGCGGTCTGCCAGGCCTGCCAATTTCATCCAACCGGACTTTGTAAATTAAAGGTAATTTAAAGAGCATGAAGGTTTAATATGGATCGTTCATCTCTTCCTTAGCCCTCTCCCTCCCTGTGATGTACTGTGTGTAATAACTGCTTTAGAAGAGGAAAATCTATCATCTCCTAGGTCAGCTGCACAGCCTAACACTTTTCTCTCTTTCACAATCTCCTGTCTGTGATATTTTATTTTTTTTTTTCATATTTACGTGGGGTAAGAATACCTGACAGAGTATGCTTTATGATGGACCTTTCACAGACAGACGCTTCCAGAAAGACCACGGCTGACGATATTTATACTTTGCAGCTGTTAGTGGAAGTAGATAAGACCAAGGAGTCTCCCCTGAAAGGCGGCTTAACTTCACTTTTGAATTGTCTCTGCTAGTAAGCTATTTTACCTCTCCTAGCCTGTCTGGCGAGGGCACTGTAACTGTAAGGTATATCATTTCTATACCCACTTTCTGCCTTAGCAAGCGGTAGACTAAGACGCACGTTACGTGGTTTTTATCATGTGAAAACACCCTTGAGAGAACATAAACCATTCTTGCTTACATTAACCGCTGCTAAGTACAAACATATAGTACTTTGACAGTTTCAAAACCGTAATCAAAAGTCTAGTGCTACGTTTTAAACTGCCAACGTGCTGGGAACTGCCCGGAGAGCACTATAACCCTCTGTTTTCCTGTGGACTTATTGGTGTGACATCCCCCGTCCCTTAAAAAAAGAGCTTCCCCACTTATTTTCTAGAGGGTTGGTTAGACAACTTTTCTGGTTTTCAGTGGGGCTTTAAAAGAAAGTTTTGAAAGGTTTGGGGATATTTGAATGTGCTGATCCTGCTTTCCTACCCTGAGGCAAGTATGAATGAATAGGAGACCATTTCTGGGCTGCATTTTTATAAAATTAGATTAATCAGGTATATATCTTAACTCATTTGCCTCATTAACACTAATGAGAAAATAAAGTTTTTAAACTTGCACTGATTGCAAGAACATACTGGTTACCAAAATAAAATGAAAGTTCACATTTTTTTCAAATAAATCAGTGAATAGAAATTACTTTATAGGCCCAAATGAGGGCAAAGCCACTTAAATTTCTGATTAAAATAATTATGTCAGAACCATGTTAAAGATATGGGGGGGGTGGGGGGGTGGTGGTCAAAGGCTTTCCTTATTCTTACATTTTTCAAACTCAGAAATGTATGTCTTCTCAATATCCTGGTGTTCTCTAGGGATTATAATAATTTCTATCCTAAGATGCTTCAAGGGACTATTTGAACTAGGTTTCCAATTGCATCAGACCACATTCTAATCACCCCTCTTATACCATTACTTTGTAATACCTAAATTGCTTTCAGAAAAGGTGTTTCAATTATGGGACATTTTATATCAGGCCATTTCACATTCTGCGTTCCTCTTTTATGGAGCCCATTCTGTACCGTACTATCACATCAGAAAAAGCATCTTTTTCATCAGAACAAAGCCTCTGAAAACAACAATGTAATAAAATCTAATTAACATCCAGATTTTAATGCTGAAGATCTGTCACGTTCTATCATGTAGGGGTAATTATGAGGTCTCTACCTTATCCATTACTCTTAAAGTGGTATTATTTAAAATATTGACTAATATACTTGGCAAAAGAAGTTTGAGAAACTAATAAAACAGTAGATAGAAACCACCAGGCCAGTAAGAGAACACACACCAGTCTCAGAAAACCAGTGTGTATTCAAAGGAGAGAAAAGGGAAAATATATTTGGGCCCTGGTAGCTTCTCCCTCCTGCCGTCCCGCTGTAGCGGTGACATTCCCTGTGTTCCTGAGGGAGCCTCATGTTTTCCTGGGAGCTTGAAATGGTGGATGAAGTCCCATCTGCAGGTGTGCCCCAACACTGTAAGCGAAAGGCATAACTCTCCCATGGGACCTACCTGTGGCACGGGCTCTTTAATTGCATCAGTTAATTACATCCGTGTTTGCTCCTCAGACAACCCAAGTGTCTTCAGGCCACGTGGAAGCCACAGCTTCCCCGGCCCTGGTGGCCGCCCTAACTAGGAGAAGACCAGGTCAGCCTCGAAGGCTGCTGTGCCCACTGCACGGACTTCTGCTGGGACGCTCTGCCCACCCTTGGCACCACCCATGGGTTTAGCTGTTGTTTACAGCTATCTCGCAGAAGCCTAAAATCTAATGCAGTTCTTTACTCTGGTTTTATATCATTGCTTCTTCATATTTTTTATTAAAAACCTCCAGAAATATTTAAGTTACCAGAACAGGATTCCAAAATTTCAAACGGAGCTTTTATCCAGTCTCAGGTTTTGCTAATCTCATGGAGCTTACTTTTGTGTATTACCTAATAATCATCATATTAGTAGTCACAGCTGGGAATAATGATCACACACACCACAGAAGAGTGGAAATGAGAAAAAAAAAAAAAAAAAAGAATCACATTCTGCCGCATTCATCAATAGGAAGCAATAGCACATTGCCTAAGCTAAAACATTCACAGCTACAAGGATCGCACACAGGAAAACTGGAAATCTTACAAGTCCTTTTTTCTCCCTGTTAGGAGAAAGTACCAGCATTTAAATTGCTACTATTTTATTGTTTCAAGAGACAAGTGAGTTTCAGCTTATCTCCAGAAATTATTAACTGCTAATTTCCTATCTTATTTCTTTTTTTCCTTACCTCCACCTCCCACCCATTTTTATTTCCTTTTTTGGCAGGAAAATACTTGTAATATAGATGGACTTTGCTATGGTGAAGGAGAGTCAAGCCCCACCAGTCCTTGTCTTCTCTGTGAACCTGACATTTCTAAGTTCACCTGGTCTATTAATGAAAGTAAGAGAGTTTTTTCTAAGATTTAGAAGCACTTAGCTGGGAATTTATGGCTCGGTCTATGAAATACACGGTTCCTTCATTTGGCTAACGTGAATCTATCCTGCATAACAGTGCAAGGGGACTGTTTGCAATGGGAATAACTGGGTGCACCAGAAATGCAGACTGCCCAGAAGCAGACAGTACTCCACCGTTCGCACTATGCATCTGGGCACGTATCTTGTTCTGGCTGAAACCCGTCAAATCTCAAATTAATAAAACTAAAATAACACCTGAAAATGAAATTGAATGCCAGTGCCTCATGCAGTTCCCAAGTTTGTCAGCTAAAGGTGATGGACCCTAAATACATCTGTCATCATCTTGCAGGTACGAATCTTTAAGGTAACAATTTGGGGAAAATACTGTTTTTAAAACCCTAGTGTATATTTTTAGTATCTGGAAGAATAGTTTCCTTTCCCTGAGCCAAATCCTATGAAATGCCACAGAAAAGAGCTTGGCTTGGCAGGGAGTCTGGGTGACAGGGATCAGCCACTCGTTACCTTCCCTGCCGCAGAACCTAAAGGCTCATTCTGCAGCCCGTCATGGCAGGGGTCATGGAGAAGGCTGCCTTCTGAAGCACCTCCTGAATGCTGAGGACTTAATCATTGTTTTTTCATCCCAAGTGTAAACAACCACCATTACTGACCGCTTGCTTTACAGATAATCCATTTTTCTAGGACCATCATCCCCACAGCGCATCTCCCCACTTACATGAGCACCTTTACATCTGGTCAATATAAAGATTATAATACCGCTTTTATGTAGATTCATGTGTTGGTCCTAAAAAGAGTTTCTCTGCACTTTTAGGTTCTGTAAACACAAGCAAATTACATAGAGGCGTGTGAGTGGCAGGACCAGTTTGCTTTGTTTGCAGTTTGATATTCCTTTAGGGTGACTAGGTCAGCAGGACCCTTCTGGGTGGAGAGGAAGATTGCTCTTGGCCTGGGGGAACAGCTGGGGATGCTCAGGGACAGAGGCTCCCAGAGAACGCGAGGTACGGCAGCAGAAACGGCGAGAGCTGTAACACTGCCGAGGCAAGCGGCGAGCAGACACGCTCTTCTCAGAGGTGACAGAAAGGCCCTTGAGAAGCAAGAGTTTCCAGCAAGGCAAGAAGTCGTAAGCTGTCTGAAATCAGTGTTGGAAGCAGGGACACAATAGGAAGGAAGGGAGTTGTTCATAAGTCCTTTAAATTTCTGTTCCAGCCTAGCTACTTTGAATTTTCTCTATTTAAAAACATACACTTCTAGTTTTTATCCTAAAAAATCCATCTTTTGGAATTTAAAACTCCCTGTCAGGAAAAGGTCTAGGCAGATCCATCCCAAGTGTTGGCCAACTAAAAATCCCATTGCAAGTTACTTGGATGAGTAGCTAAAATGCCTAAGGGTAAACCAAATCTGAAGAAGAGCTTGTGCACCCGAAAGCTGTGATTTTTCCCCCAGGAATATAGTTCAGTCTAATGAGAGATATTATCTGGCACTCACAAACCCTCCTTCCTTTCTGTCCTTCCATTGTGTTGGCCACAGCAGTAGCATCTCAAGGGATAAACTGATCCTGATTGTTTTATAGACAAACTCATCACTAGCACTGAGGCAGTTCAATTTTAAAATTCAGAAAATTACTCAAAAGGGAAAAACTGCACTTGTTTTTGGTATTTATAAAGCTAGAAGTGATTTGGAAAATCTGAAACATCATGGTTCACTTTTCAATAACTTCTAAATTTAAAAATATTGAAAAGAAAGGGTTTGTCAGACCTGTTTTCAAAATTGCGAAAACCTTTTTAAAAGTTCTGCAATAATTGGGAGTGTATGTATATATTCACTGTATGGCAAGGAGAACTCTGTGGAAGTAGAAACACTCATTCACAGACTACTTTCATAACATCTGATTTTATGTTATTTTGTGCCTACAACTTCTCATTACCCTCCATCCAGTTAACACCTTTGTGTTTATTTGTAAATGCATACCCAGCATCAATATTTCATTGATTACTTTGGGCACAACTTTTATGGGCTCCATGGTTTAAGTGTTTGGGAAATAAAAGGTAAATTAATAGATGGAGGCTTTCAGCAGTTATGCCAGGACAGTCTGCTGGACAAGCAGTTTAGAAGAGCACAGCAGCGATGAGTGGAGAGACACATTTAAATAATTGCATAAAGTGAGACATGCTATGGAAAGCAAAGCTTGATAAAAGGATATGCACCACAAAAAACCCCTAACGATGACTTGCCACAAGCACAATTCAAGGACATATGCAGTCCTTATGAGAACACATATATAGTTCATAGTTCTAGAATGTGACTTGAAATTAATCCTTGGTATTAGAAATGTTTGTTAAGTTAAACATAACTATGGTCAAATTTCATCCTGTGAAGATTCCTTTATATACCCATACGTACCAGTTTGTACTGCTGGTTAAAGAGGAAAGACGGCTTGAGACTGAGGCTTAGGACATGGAGAGGAAATTCCTTGCCCTGGACAGAGCTGCTGTCACCTCACGTTACTCACCCAATCTTACTTTTCCTTGGGTTCTAATTGTAAAACATCATAATTTCTCTACCTTGTCCTCCTTACCTATTTATATTGTAAGTATCATCAGGTAGCATTTGTCTTCTACTGTAAAATAGCCTCGTACAATTAGGCTTTTATCTTCATTAAGGAAATGCTGAATGTAAACACCACCACTAGAAATAACAATGCCAATGGTGACGTGATATGCACTGCTGTCACTGGGGATACAGAATCTCAGCATCACTGATGGACCTCTGCTGGCACGGAGAAGACCTGTATTCCTGATGAAATGTCCAACCGAATTCAGTCAAAATGCTCAGGCTTAATTACTACTCATGTGTAAAGGCAGGACAGTCTACTCAATGGAGGAGTTGTTACACAATTATTTTTCCCCCCCCTGAGTTGCCGACCCAATTCATCTGTCATTCATCATTTTGAGATTTAGTGTACTTAAATTTAAATGGCTACATAGATAGAGTGGTGGATAGAATAAATATATATATATGTAAGCATAAGAAATACAATTAATTAAAGTTTTAGTTAGAATTGAGGGACTAGTGGGAGGTTATAGAAGTCATGCCTGATCTCCTCCCATGTATCAGATAACACATTGAAAGTAATCAAAGTTCAGCACGGGAGAAAAGTTCAGTACGGGGCGTGAAAAAAACCCAGGAGGAAAAAGGTATACTGCTTGGTCAAGCCATTTGCTGCCTCTGACATCTAAACCACTTCCCCTGCCAGCCTCTGGGTACGTTCTGCACCTTTGTCTTTGAGAGAACTCCTACAAAGACTCGTGCTGTGAATCTTTACATGGGAGAATCTGGAATTTATGTAATCATGGTTTCATTTTTGCTGTTTAGACAACCTGCCTCCTGCGTTCCAGGCCCCCCCCAGCCAGCTGCTGACATTTATTGGTGAGAATTTTGTTTACCAGTTAATAGCAGTGGATCCAGAAGGGTCAGCTGTGCTATTCATCTTAGCGGCTGGCCCACAGGATGCCAGGCTCTCTCCTGCTGGCCTTCTTATCTGGAAAGTTGATTCAGAAGAAACGCAGACCTTTGAATTCACTGTGTCGGATGAATGCAATGCACAGAGCAGATACTCTATTGAGGTAAGGAAATGAACGCTTTAAAGGAAAAAGAAAACAAACCTGTTTATCATGTCAGTGTTTTGGTGCAATTGTCATTATAGCTAATAATTTGTTACTGTCTTGAAAAGTAAGACTTCAGCTATTTCCTCATAAGTGTATATTATCCAGCACAGCAATAATGATCAATTAATGGAATAAATATCTCTGAGAACATAGAAACTATATATACAAGGAACAAGAGAGAGTGCTATTGATTGCTGTTTGAAAGAACACTCTTGCAGAGCCTTTTAATGGTTCATTAATCTGCTTTAAAATTCACATTCTGCATTTGGATTGCAGAAAAAAAAAGCATATAACAGAAAAGACCAAGTTTTAGCTATAAAAGGGAGATTATAACTCATTCTCAATGATATTTTTAGAGGATGTCTTGCTCTTATGTCAGTACTCCGCACTTTAAGTTTCTTGGCAGAGCTTGTGCATTGCTTTGTCTTTATTGTATAGCCTAACATTAATCCTGTGATAGGATGAGCTAATAAAGTGGGATGCAGACTCTTGACATAAGAATTCTGTGAAGAAAAGATTTTTATTCCTAAAGATTCCTATTTTTACTCATTCAAACCGCTATCATCATAAATACCGATCTGCTGAA